TGTTTCTGTGTATGTATATGTGCGTGTTTCTGTGTATGTATATGTGCGTGTTTCTGTGTATGTATAAGTGTGTGTATGTGTATGTATAAGTGTGTGTATATGTGTGTGTGTGTTTGTGTTTGAGTTAGAGAGAGAACAGAGCTCCAGACTGATACTCACGGACTATTTCCCGGATGGTGACAGCCTGGCTCAGTGAGGCTGCAGCACTCGGTCCTGCCATGTTGATGGCTCTCACTCGGAAATGCATCCTCTCCCCCGTGGGCAGGTCACGGATAAGGATGGAGTTACGATCAGTGAGTCCTTGCTGAGCAGGTAGCCAGTCATTTGCTGAGGAGGAGAAGCAAAGAGGAAGATGGAGAAGAAACAGGAAGTGAGGAAGGAAGCATAGACAAGTATTGGCACAAGACAGGGGACAGAGGAAGCAGATATACACAGATGGAAAAAGAGAGAGGAAGTTAGAGAGATGGAGACAGGTGTGAGTGATAAGTCAGGGAGAAAGAAGGTTAGACACCTTGAGATAGTGAGTGAGTGAGAGAGAGTAAGAGAGATGAAGAAATGAGGTGGGGAAAATGTTTGCAGGATGGATATGTAGAGTGGCAGCAAACTGTTGCAGTCCCTTTAATGAACTAGATGGGGTTTTTTCCCAATAACCAACAATGGTTTTAGCATTAGATTCATAATTCCAGGTTTTTATTGAATTCACATTGCACTATCTGCCATGGTGGGATTCAAACCCAGGCCCCCAGAACATTACCTGGGTCTCTGGATTAACAGTCCAGTGATAACAGCACTAGGTCATCACCTCCTCCTTGTAAATTGAGAATTAAAGCAGCATTACACTGACATGCAGGGTGCAAATGGGGCGTTTTGCTGTAAGTGACCATAGTACTATTGTGTAGAACCCTGTGTAAATCAGTTCCTTGCAAATCATTTGCACATTGAGGCTGTGTTGTGATTGTCTAAGTTATCATAGCTACTTTCAGTCTGGGTCACTATTACTGACAGTGTCATTATCCATGGCATAATAAGGTATAGAGCTGGATGAACGCCGAAGGGTCTAGGCCTGACACGTCAGCCTTCCTGCTCCTCTGATGCTGCTTGGCCTGCTGTGTTCATCCAGCTCTACACCTTGTTATCTCAGATTCTCCAGCATCTGCAGTTCCTACTATGTCAGTGTCATTAAACATGCAGATTCAGTGCCTGCAATTCTGAACAGGAACACTGCAACTTTTCACGTTCAGATACTGTACAGCTACCTTCTATCAGGAATATCAAATCTACACCCAATCATTGTCAGAGCGTACACAGCTCTGTAGAATAACATGATCTAATAGTGAACAGTGTGCGTATACAGCCTCAGGTTGGAACAACATATGTACACAGTGATGGGCAGATACTCACATCCCTCCTTACAATACTCCACCAGGTATCCATCCAATCCAGCTGCTCCCACCTTCTCTGGAGCTCTCCACTTAAGAGAGATGGTTGTGTCACTTACATTCTCCACAGTCAGATTAGTGGGCTCACTAGTGGGAGCTGCAAGGAAGAAACCAGTTAATACCAGACTTTGGGTGAGATAGCAATGTTTCAGATTATCACGTTGGGCTATCAAACTTACATACAACAAATATTCAGTTTAGACACACCAGTCAGTGTACAGATACCTCCCTGAGAGAGAGAGAAAGAGCGAGAGAGAGAGAGAGAGACCAGTCAGTCAGTGTACAATTATCTCTCAGAGAGAGAGAAACACTGGTCAGAGTACAGGTATCTCCCTGAGAGACAGAGAGAGCACTGACAGACTCCAGTCAGTGTACAGTTATCTCTGAGGGAAGGGGTGGTGGTGTTGGGTGTTGGGGGTGAAGAGAGAGAGAGAGAGATAGAGAGGGCGGGGGGGGGGGGGGGGGGGGGGGGGGGGGGGGGGGGGGGGGGGGGGGGGGGGGGGAGAGGGTGGTGTCAGACAGGGGGAGAGATCGAGATCTGGATCTGTGAAACACCAGTCAGTGTACAGATATCTCCCTGAGTGAGACAGGGACTGAGAGACACCAGTCAGTATACAGATACTGTATCCCCCTGAGAGAGAGGGGACTGAGAAACACCAGTCAGTATACAGATACTGTATCCCCCTGAGAGAGAGGGGACTGAGAAACACCAGTCAGTATACAGATACTGTATCCCCCTGAGAGAGAGGGGACTGAGAGACACCAGTCAGTGTACAGATACTGTATCTCCCTGAGAGACACCAGTCAGTGTACAGATACTGTATCTCCCTGAGAGACACCAGTCAGTGTACAGATACTGTATCTCCCTGAGACAGGGGGGACTGAGAGACACCAGTGCATTTACAGGTAACACTGCCTGGGTTCCTGGCAGCTTGCTGCCCCCATGTTGCTGCCCATGCCTGGCATCCGGCCATCTCCTGGTCTGACTCTTACCAATTGGTACGAAGGGTCTGGATGCCTGGCTGTGCCGCGACATGCCAATCGAGTTGACAGCATAGACTCTCATCTCATAGACAACCCCTTCAATCATTCGCTTCGCCTCGTATGTCGTCTCCTTCCACAGGTCAAAGTTCAGCCTCATCCACCGATAACTGTTCTTCTTCTTCCTTTCCAGCACGTATCCTGCACGTATAGACAGAAAGAGAGAGGTGATCCCATCCCATTAGTGAGGGAGGAAAAGGAGAGTGGGGACGTGGGGACAACAGTGGCTAAGTGTTGTGGGGGAGAGAGAGAGGGAGAGAGATAGAGAGACACACAGAGACAGAGAGAGAGACAGAGACAAAGAGACTGACAAACACAATTAGACAGATGGATGGAGAGACACAGCCGGAAAGTGGAAGAGACAGAAAGAGAGAGAGAGACAGAGAGAAACAAAGAGGAATAAACCAATAAAAGGGGGTAGAGTGAGGACGTGCCAATGGATAGGGAAGAGAGCAAATAAAGAGAGGAAGGATAGGAAGAAAGCTAAAAGGAGGCGAAGGAAATAGAGGATGATTGTTCATAAAAGAGAATAAGAAACAGAGGAATAAATAGTGGAGTGATTGAAATTAAGAGGACAGATAGAGGGAGAGAGAAGGGGAAGAGGGGGAGAGAGAAAGCAGGTGGAAAGAGGAAGACAGTAACTTGTCCATGTCTTCACTATCTTGCCTGCAACGTTCAGACCAAGTCTCACTCTTACCCAGCACAGGTTGACCTCCATCAAATGCTGGGGGCTCCCATTGGATCGTACAGCAGTCCTCACCAACACTGAGGACTCGCGGAGCATCAGGGGGATCTGGGACATCTGAGGAGAGGGCACAGAGAGTCAACTGAACAATCACAGCAATCAGCCTTTATTCCCTGTTTGGGGCAGTGTGACAGGGAGCAGTGTGAGAGGGTGGGCTGTGAGGGAGTGATAGAGTGTGAGGCGGTGGGTATGAGGTGAGGGGATGGGGTTTAAGAGGTGAGGGAGACTGTATTCTGTCAGACAGCAGGATCTCTCTGTTGCTGAGCTGTGTGTCTGCACCAGGTGATGTGGGTGGTGAGTGTAGGGGTCACCCGTACCTGCTTACACCAAAACGACCCATGTTTGAAAGACACAAAATGGCCGGTAAGGACTAAACTAAACAAACTGGGGCAGTCTGCTCTTACATTTAAAGTCAAACATATTAGCACTTTGAAACAGAGCAACCCAAGGTCGTACGAAGGCCCTGCAACCCATCATCTTAGTCAGTTCTGACAAGAGGATGCCTAAGAACAGACAAATGACTTGTAGTCTCACTAATGAAAGGATGTTGTCCCACTAAAGACATAGCACCAGGGGTGTAAATCTTAGCTCATGAACCCATCAGATTAACTCCCTAAACAGCTGCAAAAAAAACAACAGCCAAAGACATTTTGTAGTAATTAGCTTCTTACCTACAGTATTAAGAAATAGCCTTAGTTAAAGAATTATTCAGATAATCACAGAAGTAAGTTTCAACGTATAACCAGAATATAACACAAGCAGTAGGGGAAAAAGCACTTAAACCCGGAGGTGAGGATTAATTGGATTTGGGACATACCGTATATACCCTGAACGAGACAGATTCGTCCAACTCATTAGCTACAAAGTGCTAGCAGTAAAAGTAGCTGTATAACTGGACACTTTATAACTAACCTTAACAGGAATTAATCATATAGCAATTAGGTAAAACTGTCTTTTGTTTTTATATATATATATATATACATTCGGTACAGTGGGAAATATAAATGGAATGATTAAATTTTATAAAGGCGGCACACATAATACTATGAATAACAGAATTCAAGCAGCCTTTAGAGGTAAGAAAGTCTAGGATAGAGATAAGAAAGTCTAGCACAGACCAGAAGGAACATAACTAATAACTTGTGGAATGCAAATTAATAAGATGCATAGAAAGATCCCAAGGCCCAGAGATTACAATGACTAGTGAACACCATGAGATTATGAGAACCTGGGGCTGTCCCCAGCAATGCCCATCATTGATTAGGTGTCCTATGGGACTGGATGCTTGGATTATGGGGAAGAACAGTGACTATATTGTATTTGATTATTGTAACACAAAGTGTATAAAAATGCCGTACTTCTTTGTAAAATCAGATTGTGTCATTGATCTCTCTTCCAATCTAAGCCAAAGATTAAGGGAAAAATTGCTTTCTCACGCCAAGACCAGATTTGGGTAAGATTCTTTGGCCCTCTCCCTGCATTATTTCTGCTTGAATAAATATCTTCCACTTGCCTGCATCCTGCTTGCCTCTTGAGTTTTTGGAATACGCTCCTACAGTGAGTATTCGACAGAAATGAGCTGGGGGTTGGGAGCAGGTTCTCAACACAGGAATCTGTCGCTGTAGGGTCCTATCAGGATCAGTAATGATCTCACAGTTCTGGTGAACATTAATTTTATTATGAATGTTAAGATCTCTCATGGATAATGAACAGATTCCTAGTTTCCCAGTGAATTAAATTCAAGATAAGCAAAGTTATGTACAAAAGATGTAAATTAATATAAATTTATTTATTTTGATTTCTACTTTGTTTTGCAGCAGCATAACAGGATATATTACAATAAAAATAATTCTCTTTTCTGGGAATTATGAGATGCCAAAGCTGTCCCTAATTACTCCTTGAGAAAGTGGTGGTGAGCTGCCTTCTTGAACTGCTGCAGTCCATGTGCTGTAGGTAGATCCACAGTGCTGTTCAAGAAGGAATTCTAGGATTTTGACCCAGTGACAGTGACAGCGGTATGTTTCAGCCTTTGGGAAGATTAGGACAGTATGCTGAGGATTCACACACCACCTTATGGTGTGGGCTGTCAGAGTTTGAGGATGCTGTCCTGCAGCAAGTAGGAGAGGGATTTTGGAAAGTAATGGCATGTGTGTAAGAAAGACACTGGTCTTCACCCTGTCTCCTAATATTGTCCACTCTCCTTCTCGTTCCCTACTTACCTCTTAGAGACATAGAGTCCTACAGCAGGGAGATAGGCCCTTTGGCCCAAACGGGCCCATGCCAACTAAAATGTCAATCCATGCTAACCCCATTTCCCTGCACTTGCTTCATATCCTTCTAAACCTTCCTATCCATGTATTTGTCCAAATGCCTTTTACATGTTAACGTACCCACCTCAACCACTTCTGGCAGCTCATTCCATATGTATCCCATCCTCTGTGTAAAAAGGTTGCCCCTCAGATTCCCATGTATTCTTTCCCCTCTTAAACTAATACCCTCTAGTCCTCAATTCCCCAACTCTGGGAAAAAGACTGAGTACATTGACCTTATCCATGCCTCTCATGATCTTATATACTTTTATAAGATAGCCCCTCAGTCTCCTACACTCTAAAGAAAAAAGTCCTAACTTGTTCAACCTCTCCCTATAACTCAGTCCCTTTGGTCTTGCCAACATCCTTGTAAATTTCTTCTGCACTCTTTCCAGTTTAATAACATCCTTCCTATACCAAGGTGACCAAAATTGATCTCCAAGTCTCACCAATATCCTGTACAACTGCAACATAACTTCCCAACTTCTGTACTCAATGCCCTGAGGGTCGTCTTTAGTGAGGTAGTCACACCTAAGGTGCAGGCAGAGGGTAGCTGGGTGACCTCCAGGAAAGGCAGAGGGAGTATGCAGAGAGTGCAGGAATCCCCTGTGGCCATTCCCCTCGAAAACAAGTATACCGTTTTGGGTACTGTTGGGAGGGAATGACTGTTCAGGGGAAAGCAGCAGTAGCCAGGTCAGTGGCATTACGACATTACGGGCACAGTGGGAAAGGGTAAAGGTAAACAGGATTTTAGTGATAGGAGACTCGATAGTTAGGGGGACAGACAGGAGATTCTGTGGCCGCAGACAGGAATCCAGGATGGTGTGTTGCTTCCCGGGTGCTTCCATTTCCTGCTTCATCCTTCCCTCATGTCTGTTCTCCTCCTACAGCTGTGGCCCAACCCATTAGATTATCAACCATCTCCGTGATCATCTCCAGGCCTACAACATCTCTCCAAGATCTCTGCCCTCTTCCTACTCTGGCCTCTTGCACATTCCTGATTTTAATCGCTTCTTTGTCTGTGGCCATGCCATCAGCTGCTTGGGCCCGAAGCTCTGGAACTCTCTCTCTAAACTCTCCAAGGCTCTACTTCACCTTCCCCAAGCTTTGGCCAAGCTTCTGATCAGCTGACCCTAATACCTCCTTATGTGGTTCACTGTTATTTGTAGTTTGACAGTGGCGTTTGGGATGATGTGTGTATGTGAGGGAGAGTTCTGTTATCAGGAACTAGTCTGAGTTACTGCACTCAGTGATGAATTTAATCACCTTAGATCAGTGTGACCTAATTTGCATTTTAAAATCTAGGTAAAATAGATTTGGGTAAAAGACATCATTTCTAAGAAGGCATGTGACTTAAGTGCCTAGTAGGATATTCGTGATGTGAGTTGCTGAAGTTTAAGAAAACAGGCCAGGTTTCTTTGAATTCTATTCAGAACCAGGTTCAGTTCAGGAGAACAATTTCACCCCACCAACAAGGCAGGGTAGTTTGTTCAAACTAGTTTGGTTCAAGCTGTGAGGGTGTATGCAGAGGTTTTCAAGCTATCTATGCTAGAAAGAGGTCTCTAGGCTATCAAACCTAGAAAGAGTCAGTTAAGGAAGAAATTAAAGAGTGAAGATAGGAGTGACACTGTAATGGTTGCCACACTATAGGAAGGATGTGGAGGCTATGGAGAGGGTGAAGAAGAGATGAACCTGCCTGGATTAAAGGGTATTGGAGGCTAGAAAAACACAGGTTGTTTTCACTGGAGCAGTGGAGGCTGAGGGGAGACTTGACAGAAGTCTATAAAATTATGAGATGTATAGATAGTGTTGACAGTCAGAATCTTTTTCCCAGAGATGAAATGTCTAAAACTGGGACCAAGCATTTAAGGTGAGAGACGGAAAGTTCAAAGGAGATGTGAGGGGCGAGTTTTTTTACAAACAGTGTGGTAGGAGTGTGGAACGCGTTGCCAAGGGTGGTGGTGGAGGTAGATACGATAGGGGCATTTAAGGGACTTTATTTAGATAAACACATGAATGTGCACGAAATGGAGGAATATGGACCAAGGGCCGGCAGCAGCGGTTAGTGTAATTTGGTGTCATGTTCGGCACAACATTGTTGGTGAAGGGCTCATTCCTGTCTTGTGCTTTCTATGTTTTATGACACTCCACTTATTGAGATTGAGTATTTGTAAAGAATATATCTGGGGTAAAGGTTGAAACTTTGTTTTACTGTTTATGTTAAGATCTTTCAAAACGTTTCTTTATCTATGTATGGCTCATTTTTTATTTCTTTTATGTAATAAACTTGTGTTCTATTGTTAAAGGACATTGGCAACTGTGTGTGAAAATGTTCAATAATTGATCACCACGGTATCCAACTGCGAAAGTTAAACTTATGATCTATCAAGCCAGGTTTCATGTTGGCATCTGACTTATCCAGTAAAACATTAAGACGATGACATCATCCAATGACTGCCTCCAGGCTCTGGTTCGAATCTCATGTACTCACCAACCACTTTGACAGTAATATCAGCTCGATCTTCCCCTGCTGGGTTCTTCACTAGCACGGTGTAGACACCTTGATCACATCGCTCTGCTCCCTCCACAATGAACACGCAGTGGTCAGGGTGTTTCTCAATGTAGACACGTCCATCCAGCTCTGTGATCACCTGTCCACAGCAACACAGTCAGAGTTACACTCTGACATCTCGGACATTCACCTGAAGCCATCCAGCCTCCTTGCTTTGGCGCCTACAACAGCATCCCATCTCCTGGAGTTCACCAGGCTAAACCAAACTGCTTGCTTCAAGCACAGAAACAATGATGGTTCAGTCAGTGGGTGCTTGTGGTTCCCAAGTGGTAACCTCACATCAGACTCGGACATTAATTATGAACACGTGTCAATTTCACTTCTCATCCCAGTGCCTCAACATGGCGATGAGAGATTACCAATGAGTGGGGCAAGAAAAAAGGTGGAATCCAAGGCAAAGTGACAAGTTGGATCCAAAACTGGCTCATTGGAGGGAGCAAAGAATAATGTTTGATGGTCGTTTTGTGATTGGAACGCTGTTTCTAGTGGGGTTCCATAGGGCCTAGTACTGACTCCTCTGCTGTTTGTGGTATGTGTTAATGAATTGGACTTAAATGTAGGAGTATGATGAAGAAGCTTGTAAAAGATATAAAAATAGGGTGCATGGTTGATAATGAAGAAAGCTGTAGACTGCAGGAGATATGAATACACTTGTCAGGTAAAATAGTAAATATAATTCAGGTATGACACAAATATCTATTACAGTACACTGGAGTGTGTTTTACAATACAGTAATATTTTGTACATCATAGTGTATTACAGTACACTGTATAACACTATAATGCATATACAACACATTACTATACACTCAGTACACAGTAAAATATTTGTAGCACACATACGCTGCATTAATGTGTACAATGTGCGTACAGTGTACATCACTATGTAACAGGTTTTACTGTGTACAGTGTATATGACTGTGCGCATCATGTAAATGTCTGTGTGCCATATATATTGCTGTAAGCGTGTGTCTGTGAGCGAGTGTAGTGCAGTGTATATCACTGTGTATGGGCGTGTGTGTATGGGTAGGTGGTTGGGGGTGTAGTCTATCATCAACTGACTCAGAACGTAGATTTTGATCCTCCAACTTTTTCCCCACTGGGAGATCTATCCATTACCCACCCTCTCCCTGATCCCACCTGGTCAGCCTTAGTCCAGATGACAGTAGGGTCTGGGTCTCCAGTGATGGGCACATCCAGCCGTAGCTTGTTCCCAGCCACAACAATGATTGTGGCATCAGGAATTCTGCCAAAACAGTCCAGGTGGATTTTGGGGGGATCTGTGGAGTGTAGAAACATACTGGCTTAAAAGTCCTACAGGATCCCATCCCTAGCCCCAGAGATGCCCAATCCCCATTCCTGTAGCACCCCCATCCCCGCAGGATCCCCATCCCCACACCACACCCCCATTCCTGCAGCTTCCCAACCCCAGCCCCACAGCACCCCCACCCCAGCTCTGCAGCTCCACCATCCCCACAGGATCCCCCACCCCATCCCCGCAGACTCCCCATCCCCATCCCCACAGATTCCCCGTCCCCATCCCTGCAGATCCCCCATCCCCATCCCTGAAGCTCCCTCATCCCCATCCCTGAAGCTCCCCCATCCCCATCCCTGCATGTCCCCCATCCCCATCCTCGCAGTACACCCCCATCCCTGCAGCTCCCCCAACCCCCCAAACCCAACACTGCAGCTCCACCCCTTCAGCATTCCCAGTCCCGCAGTTCCCCTGTCCCTGGTCCCGCAGGTTCCCCTGGCCCCACTGCTCCACAGACTCAGCCCTGCAGCTGTCATGTTACGTATTGAGTTCAAAATGCATACCTTGCCGGGGCACGTAGTCAATTTTAACCTCTGGTGTGATGAACAACGAGAGAAAAAAGGTGGGGAAGAGAGAATGAAACAGCTTTAAAGTAAAGTAATAAAAACTTGCAAAACTCTCTTCGCTTAGAAATTTCCCACCCCTCGATACAGCAGACAGACAAAGTATGAATCTGCAATTGGCTTATGTCAGAAGGATTTACAAGTTAGTTTGGCAACACAGTATCATGAAAGGGTGATTAATACTCAGAACCCCTAGTTCTGAGGCAGAGACACTACCTGCTGCCCCACAAGTCTCAATTGTTCTGATAGATAGATACTTTCTGAATCATCCTGCTCAGAGATGTTAGTATACACCTCTGGAGCAGATGGGACTGTAACCCAGGCCTCCCAGTCAAGAGGTAAGGACACTACCACTGAGCTACAAGATCGCCCTGATTGACACAGATTACAGGAAAATGACACATATGTCACAAACAGCCATTGTCTGCCCAAATTGATCAATTCTAATGCCCCTCCACCCCAATTAATTTGTTAAAAGACAATGATGAAGCCCATTTAATATTATTTGATTAACTCCCCAATTAACACCTCAAAATCAAGCAACAAAACTAGTGATTAGCTTGGAATCATGAGGATTGAACCGATACCATTTGACCCCAGACAAGACCAGCACTGTCAGCGGATGTCCTTCGTTCCAATGCTACTGCAATATGCACTGTCACTCAGGATTCACTGCAGTGACAATTCCCCGAAATCCATCTGGCTCAGTCGCTTACCCAGAAAGTTCAGCTTGGCTGAGAGGTTGAAGGCAAAGCCCTCAGGTACAAAGGTGTAATCGCCTTCATCTTCAGGTCTCACATTATCAATCACTAGTTTGTGGATTCTGAGGAATGCAAACATAACAGTGAGAGAGTCTGAAAATAATATAACAAACTGCAAATCTATGGGGAAACGCAGATGCAATGGAGGAGTCTTGGTGATTCAGGATGAAAGAAAAAGGGAGGAAAAAATGAGAGGGAAACACAGCAATGCGTTATTAATGGGTGGAATTAAGAAATAAAAAGTAGGCTTTAAGACTAATGTGCAGGAGCTGTGTCTGAAGCCTTGTCCAAGCAGTAGCTGAGAGGAGGTAGATTGTATAAATGCACGGATCATGAAGACTCACATCAGACTTGAAACATTAACTCTATTTCTCTCTCCACAGATGCTGCCAGATTTTCAGACTTTCTCCATCATTCTCTGTGTTTGTTTTGTATAAATGCAGGGATTGGACAAGCAGGCAGTAAACGCAGAATGATTTGAAAGGGGAATTTTCACAATCCTGTAGATTGCAACAAGCACATGTCAGAAAGGAGGCAAGCTTATCTAGTGTGACCATTAGGGGGCCATGATATGTTGGATAGAGTCATAGGCCAAGAGCCAGATGTTGTTAACAGTGGGGTGAATATCTATCCAATAACAATCAGAATGTGATTAATTCAATGTAATGTTTGAATGCAAGAGAAATGCAACAGTTGGAGAATTAGTATGTGTGACTGCAGTGAGATGAAACAGAGAATGTAAACTAGTCAAATCTGTTCATGGGGAAAATGACAAATCAGTGGTAATATGCTCACAAATGAATTTAATGTGATTTCATTTCTGAAGTTCTTCTCTGCCAGAAGTGGCAGTCGCTGGCTGGGCTAGCATTTATTGCTCATCACAAAATGCCCTGGAAAGGTGGTGGTTAAGTGCCACCTTCAATACAACTGGCCATTAAAGAGTTAACCAGATTGCAGTGGGCATGGAGGTACACATAGCCCAGGATGGAAAAGGATAAATTTTCCTCTGTGGAAGACATGAATTAAAATCTGGGTGATTGCCAGGCACCTTTAACACAGATAGTAGTTTCCTATTGCCATATTTTTGAAATTAAGTGAGTTTAGATTCTGATATGGGATTTTAATTCCAATCTATACCATTCAGGCAGGCCTATAGAATTAGGAGGGTAAGGTGGACGAATGCGTGGCTGGAAAGATGGTGCAGGAGAGAGGACCGGGGTTAGAGGGCATGGTAGGTTGGTGGGGGGGTGGTTTAGGATGGAGAAGGAGGCTGCTGGTGAGGGATGGGTAGGAGGCTTCAAGAGGAGTGTGGAGGGGGAGGAGAAGGGCATTGGAGGGGTGTGAGGGAGACGAGTGTGTTAGAAGGGTAGGAGAGGAGGAGGAGGATGATAGACGGGTGTGAGGGTGTTGATCGGAGGCTACAAGGGTAGATGGGAAAAGGGAGGTTGCTAAGGAGACAGAACAGTTTTAATCCTGTCAACAAAGGGTTACTGAACAAACTGGGATTGATATCATCCAGGAAAAAGCAGCCCTATATCCACAACATCCTCTCCCTGTACCAGCAATGCTCAGCAGCAGCAGTGGGTACTATCTACAAGAAGCAGTGCAGAAATTTACTGAAGATGTTCTAAGGAGTCAGCATCTTTCAAACCCATGATCATTTCAATCTAGGAGGACAAGGGCAGCAGATACTTGGGAACACCATCCCCTGCAAGTTCCCCTCTAAGCCACTCACCATCCTGAATTGGAAATATGTCATTGTTTCTTCATTTTTGCTGGGTCAAAATCCTGGAATTCCCACCCTGACAGAATTGTGTGTCTACATACAGCAGATGGATTGCAGCAGTTCAAGAAGGCAGCTCACTACCACCTTCTCAATAGCAACTAGGGATGGGCAACAAATGCTGGCTAGCTAGCAAAGCCCACATCCCATGAGTGAATAAAACTAAAAACTGCTAAACCGTGTTCTTGGGATTGAGGTGGGCCAAATAGATCAAGAAGCAGGGGACAGTGATCATTGTACCAAAAGATTTAGGGAGACTATGGAAAATAAAAATGAATGATTCAGTGTAAGAAATGCTGTCTGCAGGAGGCCAACCTCAATGAAGTTAAAATGGATCTTGGTTGAATAAACTGGAATCAAAAATTGGCAGAAAAAGTAGTAGCTGAATGATGGGCTACCATGAAAGAAGAAATGGTTTAGATAGAGTTGAGGTATATTCCCTTGCAAGGAAAAGACAGGGCTCCCCTTGTGACTGACCCCCAACCAAGGGGAACAGCTGCTCCCTACTCACATCTGTCCATACCCTCATAGTCTTAGACACCTCAATCATGTCCCCATGAAAGCACATGTCCCAAATGCCTTCTTAACTATTCTACTCATGTGCTTTGCCAACTTCAGGGATCTATGAATAATTACTCCAAAATCCCTCTGTTCCTATAGGCTACCCAGTGTCCTGCTATTCATTAAATACTCCTTCATCTAGTTTCTTGTTCCAAATTTGATTGACTGAATTATTGTTGTCACAAATACTGACATATGGTGAAAAGTGTTATTTTGCGTGCTATACAGGTAGATCATACCATACAAAATGCATCAAGGTAGCAGAATAGACTGCAGAATACCATGTTACTGCCACAGAGAAGGTGCAGGGACAGAAATCAGAATTAACATTTGAGAGGTCTGTTCAAAAGTCTGATAACAGTGGGGAGGAAGCTGTTCTTGAATCTAGTTGTACTATTCAAAGGTGCATCACCTTGTGTTTATCAGCGTTATTCACCTGGTCTACCCATTTGACCAACACATTTTCCTGTAAGCTACAGCCATCTTCTTTGTTATTAACCACTCAATCAATCTTGGTGTCATCTGCAAATTTGCTTAATTTTCCCCACATTTTCATCTTTATCATTTATGTATATAATATACAGTAGGGGTCTCAGTACTGATCCTTGTGGTACAGCACTGAACACCAGTCTCCAGTCACTCAAACAGCCTTCTACCACTACCCTTTGTATCCTATTACTAAGCCAGTTTCTGATCACTTTCGCCGTGTTTCCCTCACTTCCATATGTTTTAACCTTCTTAATCAGTCTCCCATGTGGGACCTTTTCAAAAGCTTTGCTAAATTCTTTACTAAAGGAGATAGAAATTAATTTAAAAACTAAGAAGTTGGGGTGGTTAGAATAGGTGTCAGGTAGAAAGTACAATTGAAACCAAATTGATTATAGAATGGTCAGAGATGATGTGACAAAACAAATAAAATAAGTGAAGTGAGAGCATGAAAGGAGACAGGCAGCTGACATAAAAGAGAATCCCATAGTCTTCTTTAGGCGAATAAATAGTTAAAGGCTGATAAGGAGGAGTAAGGCCGATAGGAGTAGAGACCAGAAAACAGATTTACACTGCAGCATGGCTGAGGTACTAATTTAATACTTGGTGTTTGTCTTTACTCATGAAGATCCCACCCAGGTCATGATGACTGGGATGGAAGTTCAGACACTAGAAATGTTCAGAAATGTGAGATAGTCTTGGATGGTCTTTCTTGAAGTTTATAAATACCAGCACCATATTACTAAAAGAGGAGGTACTGGAGGTCTTAAAAAACACAAGGTTGGATAAATCTCCAGAACCTGATCAGGTGAATCCCAGGACATTATGGGAAGCCAGGGAAGAAATTATGGGAACCCTAGCAGAAGTATTTGTATCATTTACAGCCACAGGTGAAGTGCTGGAAGACTGGAGGGTGGCTAATAAGAAAGGCTGCAAGGAGAAGCCTAGGAACTGTAGACCAGTAAGTGTGACACCAGTGGTGGATAAGTTTTTGGAAGGGATTTTGAGAGATAGGACTTCCATGCATTTGGAGAGGCATGGACTGATTAGGGATAGTCAGCATCGCTTTATGTGTCGGAAATTGTGTCTCACAAATTTGATTGAGATTTTTAAGGATGTGACAATAAAGATAGCGAGGGCAGAGTGGTAGAAGTTGTCTATATGACTTTAGTAAAGCCTTTGACAAGGTTCCGCATGGTAGACTAATTAGTAAAGTTAGACCACATGGAATTCAAGGAGAGCTTGCCAACTGGATACAAAATTGGCTTGCCAGTAGGAGACAAAGGGTGGTGGTGGAGGGTTATTTTTCAGACTGGAGACCTGTAACCAGTGGTATTCCACAGGGATCAGTGCTGGGTCCTTTGTTGTTTGTCATTTATGTAAACTTGGATGAGAATTTAGGAAGCATGGTTAATAAGTTTGCAGATGACACCAAAATTAGTGGTATAGTGGGCAGTGAAGAAGGTTATCTAAGATTACAAAGGGATCTTGATCAATTGGGCCAATGGGCTGAAAGTGGCAGATAAAGTTTAATTTAGATAAATGCAGGATGTTGTATTTTTGGTAAGACAAACAAGGGCAGGACTTATACAGTGAATGGTAGCGCCCTGGAGAGTGCTGTTGAACAGAGAGACCCAGAGTTCAGGTGCACAGTTCTTTGAAAGTTGCATCACAGGTAGACATGATGGTGAAGAGGGCATTCTACACGCCTGCCTTCATTGCTCAGACCACTGATTTTAGGAGTTGGGACATCATGTTGCAGTTGTACAGGACATTGGTGAGGCCATTTTTGGAGTATTGTGTACAGTTCTAGTCATCCTGCTACAGGAAGGATATTATTAAATTGGAGAGGGTGCAGAAAACATTTACCAGGATGTTGCTGAAATTGGATGGTTTGAGTTATAAGGAGAGGCTGGATAGGCCAGGACGTTTTTCACTGGAGCGTGGTAGATTGAGGGATAAATTTATAGAGGTTTATAAAATCATAAGGGGCATAGGTAACGTGAATAACAAAGGTACTTTCCCTAGTGTAGGGGAGTTCAAAACAACAGGGCATATTTTTGAGAGGAAAAATTTAAAGGGACTTGAGGGGCAACTTCTTCACACAGAGGATGGTTCATATGTGGAAAGTACTGCCAGAAGAAATGGTGGATGCAGGTACAGTTACAACATTTAAAAGACATTTAGACATACAGAAATAGGAAAGGTTTAGAGGGATACGGGTAAAATGCAGGCAAGTGGGATTAGTTTAGTTTGGGTCTATTTCTGTGCTGTATGACTCTATGATTCTATGACCAGACAAGATATGCCCGAGGATATTAAGGGAAGAAGTGAGAATGGGGACTACATAGGCACTGGTCATTATCTTTCAGTCTTCCCTAAACTCAAGGGAGGTGCCAGAGGACTGGAGAAATATAAACATTACACCCTTGTTCAAGAAATGTTGTAAGGATAAACCCAGTAATTACGGATCAGTCAGTTTTACTTCAATAGTAGGGAAACCGCCAGAAACAAGATTTGAAGGCAAAATGTAATTAACCCACCAGATGCCAAACTCACAAGACCAGACACTGAACTGACCAGACACCAATGCCAGCCACTCTTGTTCTGAGCTCTGACATATCCACAATGATTTACCTGCCAATGTGTGTGATTTGCATTCTGTCACTGGGAACAACTTCCACACCATTCTTAAGCCACGTCCCTTTGACTTCCTCATCAGACACTTCACACTTGAAGACAGCCTGTTCCTCAGCCTTCACTGTCAGATCTGCAATATCCTGATAAACCTCCAGCTGTTTCTCTGCAGGAACAGGAGAACACGTGAGAGTATAACCAAGTCAAGCTCATTCATATATATCACAAAGAGCAGTGGTCCCAGTGCTGATCTTACAGGAACATCACTGTATACTTCCCTGCAGTCTGAAAATCAACCCTTCACCCTGAAACTTTGTCTCCTAGCCCACAGTTCATCCAGAATCCCTGCTACCACAGTCCCTTTAATCCCATGACTATAATTTGTTAACAAGTCTGTTCTGTAGTGAACATACAAGGAAGGTTAGAGCCCATGCAGTTTCACCATCCTTACTGTCCTCACTCAGCTCAGAGGCAGCCTATCTGCAATGTTTCGTTTTGACGATTGCTATTCTAATAGATCTAAGTTGATTGATTTTTATCAGCTCTTATTTCATTACTCCACTTCATGTGGGCAGCATCCCCTTGTCCCGTGAAGACAGATGCAAGGGACTTGCTTCCTGTCAGAGCCACCTACTCTTCCAAATATTCTTAAGATATTAAATGATCTTTGTTCCTCATTATGTGAGCCATTAATCTATTCTCAGACACTTTCCTCTTTGTTAGGTCTCCTTTGTACATTCTCCATTCAGCTATAATGAAGACAATGATTTTCAGAAACGTCTTTTTGTCTCATTTTAACCTTAATGGCAGTGAAATTCAACTCCTCACTACCTTGTGCCCAAGTGTCATTGTTCTCCTGGAGAGGCCTCAGACAGTCACGTCTGTGTCTGGTGTTAGCTGTGCCAGATGCCATTTTTGGCTCCGATATTCATCTTCATGTAGGGGGGTTACAGCTGGAAGTATGTAGTTCAGGAGGGTTGTCATTTTGGAGCTTGACATTGTCCAGCTCTGAACCCTACATGGCTGAACACGCATTCAGCAGTCCACAAGGACCCTTATTACACACTGAAAGTACATTTGTACTTACATAAATGAATTTCCTGTCCATTATCGAAATCAGAACAGGAAAAGGTCATTCAGCCCTGTGAACTCACTCCACCATTCGATGGGAATCACTGCTCACCTTCTCCCTCTGCACCATTTTCCTGCACCATCCCCAGATCCGCTGAGATCTTTCACATCTAGAAGTCAACTGACATCGGACTTGAACACACAATGACTGACGTCCACAGCCGTCTGTGGCAAAGAGTGCAAAGATTCAGACCCTTCTGAGAGAAGAAATTCCTCCGCGTCTCAGTCCCAAACAGCTTGCCTCTCATTCTGAGCCTCTGTCCCCAGATTCTAGGCCCCACACCCCCCCATCCCCTTCATTCAGGAGGAAACATTTTTCCTGTATCTACCCTGTCAAGCCCAGTTAGGACTTAATAAGCTTCAACGAAATCACCTCCCATTCTTCAAAACTCTAGAAAATATAGGGCCAGTGTCCTGTCATAGGTCAATCTCACCAGCCCAGAAACTTGCTACTGCCTTTTGCTGCAATGGTGGAATTGTGTCATGGTTTCTAGCATTGTTTAAAGTCGTTGAAATCTACTGAAGGGTGTGGTGTGACATCGCTGAAAAATTCTGCCCTGACTTAAAGGATTTCCTCAACAAACCAGGCAGAAGTGCAGTTACCTGAGTGAAAGAGTGTCGTTTGAGAGCCTTCCAGGCCAGGAGTATTTGGTTAGAACTCTGCAGGTTATCAAAAGACTGAGAAAGTCTAAGCTCTCAGTTGTGTGAGTGCTTAAGAGAAAAGACATCACAGCTCACAGGACCGGCACTCAGAAGAAGCTATAAAGTCAAACCTATAGTTTTGATAGGGAAGGAATTTCTTTACAATTAATCAAAATGCCAAGTGATGGGATTTTGTTTTGCTGTGTTTTTAAATCTTTCAAGTTTTCAATCTTTGATAGCTTGGTTTGGTTTATTTTATTTTTGTTTTGTTAAAACCAAAACTGCAGATCTGTATGCTTGTACTTCTGTGAGAGACCTTCAGTTAAATTTAATAAAAAGATCCATCAAGTCAGATTTCATTCTGGGATCTAACTTGTCCAGTTATGAGATGTAGGATATAAATGTCAGATTTGCGATCTGCTTAATATGTTGTTGTTCGGTTGAGCTGTGGTGTATTGAACAGTGTGTAAGGTTTAATAAGGATAGGTCACTTGAAGATGCATTAACTGACCTTGTGATGTCATTAAATGTCTTGTGGCACTGCATCCAGGTCTTCAGGAAACCTTACAATCTGCTCCATTTGTGTTGGGTTATTCCTGCCTTGGTCCCAGGTTAAATCTCACTCTCAGACTGAATTCCAGCACTAACACCAGTCCAAATCCTTTGACTTTCCAGGTGTGGGCAGACTTTTGTAAGTGCCAGCTTGTTTGGACTTGTGTTTGCAATCAGTATGTTGCCTCTACCACAGCCTATGGGTTAATTCAAAAGCGTGATGCTGCTCCTGTTTCTGGATGTTAGCGGATATTTTGGCTTATATCCTAATTCATTCAGAAAATCCCATTTTTGGAATGCTTCCCTGTGGTCACTGTGAGAACATGTGTATTCCCCACCTAAACTATTGTTGCTTTGTTTGATTCCAGTTTTACCTGACAATCTTCAATTCCAGCTCCCTTTTACGGCTCACTGAAATGTACCCTCTTACTATGAAGGAGTTTCACATTTCAATCCAAATAATCATCTAATACCTTCTTGAATGACTCAGTTAAACCTCCCTCCACCACATTTCCAGATGGTGTATTTTAGACCCTAACTTCTTACTGAATGAAAAATCCTCTTTCACATCACTCTTGCTTTTTTGCACATCACTTTAAATTTATGCTGTCTTGTTCTTGTTCCTTTTCCAAAAAGGAACAGCTTCTCCCTATTACGGTTTTGTAGATCTAATGATTTACAATATGGTTCAAAGCCCAAATTCCTGGGTTGGGTCTGTAGATCTGGACTGTGACTAACCCGACACTACATAAGTCGGAGACACTGCATTAGAAGTTGGGAACATCAGTAAAGGGGCAGGGGTGGCTGCAGGTCTGATCTACATTGTCCCAATCCAGGACCTGTTCATAAGTTACCAGGACTGACAGTCCACGTCAGTTCAAGAGGACCTATTTACTCAGGAGTTGCCAATCTATGCTCATCCATAGATGATGGAAGAAGGGCCAGTTTGAGACAGTACAAGGAGAAGCTGATGGAGTGGTTGTCTTGGATCCAGCACCCCCTGCCTCTTCCTCCTGTTACCTTGGACCAGGAGCTCAGCCACAGACTGGTCTCCATTGGTTTTGGCAGTGTAGTGACCAGCATCCTCTTTGGTGGCCTCGTTGATGAACAGAACATGTTTTTTGCCATCTTTTTTGAACCGGTATTTGAAAGTCTCCTCCCGTCTCAGCTCCTGGCCGTTCCGTTCCCTGCATACAAAATAAGAAGTCACAACAACGTCACATAAGCCTCCAATCTCCTGCACGCCTTTGTCCCTACACTGCCACCACCAATAGGTAGTCAAAGGAACAAAGGGAATAGCATCACTGGAGACTGAGGAAAACTAGGTCCAAGCCAATTTTACAAGGAATTCAAGGCAACTAAAGGGAACAATCACAAGGCCAGGGAACACAAATTGGAAGTGCCACAAGACAGTGAAACGAGTAAATGTCTAGCTGTAACAAAAACAAACAGAGTTAACGTTTCGCGTCCGACGACCCTTCCTCAGAACCCCCTGGGTCACCGGACCCGAAACGTTAACTCTGCCTTTTCCTTCACAGATGCTGCCAGGCCTGCTAAGCTTTCCAGCAACTTCTGTTTTTGTTCCTGATTTACAGCACCACAGTTCTTTCGGTTTTTAAATGTCTAGCTGTCGTGCACTTGCTACAGTGCGATGGGTTAGTAATAGCTGACACAGTGGTATATGTATTGCCCACACTATAGTGTGATGGGTTAGTAATGTCCAACATGAGTGCTCTCACTACAGTGAGGTGGTTTTATAATGTCCAGCTGTGAGATGGATTTGTAACACTTGGGTGTCTTGTTTGTCTTGCAGGGCTTGCAATATCTGGATTTAGTGCGCCTCTTACCACTTGACAAGAGCCCCTTCCTCAGACACCTCGAGCTCAAACTCCACTCTCTGGCCCACCATTACCACCTGATCCTCAAGGGAGTGAGTGATCAGCACCGGGGGCTCTGTCATGGAAAAGAACAGTCAGTAAGTAATGGACACACAGCTACTCTCACCAGTGAGGGCCCTTCACCTCAGTAACAGCTCCTCGCCATCAATGAAGGCCCCTCCATATCAATGAGGGCATCGACCCCTTACAGACGGCCTTTCCCCCTCATTGAGGGTCCCTCTGACAGAATGATGGACCGTCCTCCTCAGTGAAGGCATCTTCCCTTTAAGTGAGGGCTTACACCCTCAGGATGTAGGTCAGGGTCAGGGCTGTGGCAAGGGCGGGATCATGGAGAGGGTTTCTGACAGGGGTCAGGTTGGGGGTCAGGGGCAGGGGCATAAAGGCTCTGGGTTTGTTTGGAGTCAGGATTGACATCCATGATGGGGTCAGGTTTGGGTCAGGGTGAAGGTCAAGATGAGGTCAGGCTTGGGGTGATTTGGGGCAGGCAGTGGTGGTGGTATTGGTTGGGGTGTTTGGGGGGGGGGGCGCAGTGTCGGGGTCTCTGACAGTACCTCTGACAAAGAGCTCTGTGATAGTCTTCTCGTCTCCCAGCACACACTGATAAGCTGCATCATCAGCCAGTGAGCAGTGGTTAATCGTCAGCATCCGCTTGTAACCAATGTTCTCAAAGATAAACCTGATAACACAAACCAAACCTGTTAACCACCCTGTGCCCCAGCACACTCCCACCCACAAATACCCCACCACCTTCAACAACCTTGCAAAAACCCCTGCCCTCAAATGCCCCCATGTCATACACAAGTACCCCCACATTATCCACAAATATGCTACTCTCAAATATCCCCACATCACCTGCAAATAACGTCATGTTACCTGCATATATCCCACCCACAAATGCCCCGTTTCATCCATAAATATCCCCACCCACAAACACCTCCACTTGTAAATGCTTCCAAACCGACCCACAAATATTGCCCCCACATCATTTACTAATATCTCAACTCCCACCTCCAGCTACATATCCGTCCCATGCCCCACGAATACCATCACCCTGAGATTACCCCCAAACAGGGTTTACCCCTGGCCCAGGATTTTACTGGTGCTGATTGAGATGACAATATTCTCGTACTTGCTGTGTTTGTTATCAGTTTGGAGCCGGTCAATTGGATGATGAACAAGTGAATCCATGACCAAGGGACAGAGACACAGAGTAAGAGAGAGACAGAGACAGAGTCAGAGATTAGGAGGACAACAGGAATTAAACAGTTGCAGTTCCCCATCCCTCAGTGTGACCCCTCACACAGTGACCAATACTGGCCAATCCCAATCTGCCTTCCTGCCCCAGAAGGTCCCTCCCAGACATCTCACTGCAGGCTGATTCCAATGTGGCATCCTCCTTCCACTCAGCACTGCATCACAGACACTACTGTTACTGTTACTCCTTCAACCTGTGATGACCATCTGCCTTCACTCACTCACTGCCCTCACTCTGCCCTCACTAATTCACTCCTCCTCACTCACTGCCTCAATCACTCACTCCCCTCACTCACAACCCAAGTCACTCTTCCTCACTCACTCTCCCTCATTGACTAACTCCCTCCCACCACTCACTAACTCTCCTTTTACTTACTCACCCTCACCCCTCTTCATTCTGCTCAATTGCCCTCACTCCCACAAAACAGGACCCTGCCCCAGGTCGACAGACAGTTCATGGCCCCAGAGGTAATGGACAGTGATCCACCGCCACCAAACTTCCACCATCCCCTCCCCACACGGAATCCCACCCTGGGGTTTATTTCACTTGTTGCCCCACCATGGGGTTTATGTACAGTTGTATGCCTAGCGGGAGTTTGTGTACTGTTGTTGCCCCCAGTGGGGGTTTATATACAGTTGCTGACCCCCATTGGGTCTACGTCCAGTTGTTAACCCCTCCCCCCCACCCCAATCCTGCTGACCTGCCACTGGGATGCAGCTCTTGGCCATTCTTCAGCCACTTCACCTCTGCATCTGGATTGGCCACTTCCACCATCAGCTTCAGCTTCTGGCTCTTGTCCACCTGGTAGGCCCCAGCTAACTTGGTCAGGAAGGCTGGTTGGGGCCATACAGAGAAAACAGGAATGTGTGGAAACATTATGAAATGCCTCCCCATCACCACCCCAATCCCTTCCCCCACTGCTTCGGCACCCTCTCCTTCACATTCCCCTCCTCAAACCTGTGCCTTTCTTCTCATCCTTCCTCATTCGTTTCAGACGCTTGAGCATCCCACGCAGGTCTGTGATTCCATACTGGAAAGCTATCTTCTCATACTGAGAGGGCGGAGCATTCTGGAGAATCTCCCAAACATCAATCTTTGGCCCTTCCTCCACCTTCACATCCCTGTGAGAAGAAAGGGATTCTTTAGAGAGGACCTCACTTCAGGGAGGGGAGGGCAGGACTGATGTATGAGGAGAGACTGAATCAGTTACCACTATATTCACTGGAATTTAAAAGAATGAAGGGGGCAATCTCATTGAGACCTACAGAATTACAACAGGACGAGACACAGTGAACACAGGAAAGATATTCCCAATGATCGAGGAGTCCAGACCCAGGGATCCCAGTCTAAAGATAAGGAGAAATGTCTTCACCCCGTGAGTGATGGGAATTCTCAGGCACAAAAAGAGATTGAGGCCAATACATTGAATGTTTTCAAGCTGGAGTTATATATAGTTATTAGGGCCAAAGGATAAGGGCGAGAAAACAAGAAAAGGCTACTAAGTTGGATGACCGTCCACGATCATACTGAATGGTGGAGCAGGCTCAAAGGGCTGAATGGCCTACTCCTGCTCCTAGTTTCAATGTTTCTAGGAAGGGAACTAGCTTCCTCAGTCATCCCTCCCCCGGCATCAGGTTGGATTTATGGACTGAGTGGGAGTTTGCCTCCAGGATCAGGGGACCAGTGGGAGATTTTAATTTTTATTTGTGCACAAGACATGGGCATCACTGTCTGGGCCCAGCATTTATTGCCAATGCCTAGTTGCCCTTGAGAAGGTGGTGGTGAGCTGCTCTTTTGAACCGCTGCTGTCCATGTGCTATCAGTTGATCCACAATGCTGTTAGACAGGGAATTCCAGGATTTTCAACCAATGACACTGAAGGAATGACAATATATTTCCAAGTAAGGATGGTGAGTGGTGCTCCCGTGTATCTGCTGCCCTTGTGTTTCTAGAAGTGGTCATGGGTTTGTATGGCGCTGTCTGAGGATTTTTGGGTGAATTTCTGCAATGCATCTTGTAGATACAGTACACACTGCTGCTACTGAACGTTGTTGATGGAGGGATAGGATGTTTGTGGATGTGGTTCCATTATACGCCTGACCTGTGCCTTATTGATGATGGACAGACTCTAGGGAATCAGGAGGTGAGTTACTCACTGCGGTATTCCCAGCCTCTGACCTGCTCTCGTAGCCACTGTATTATGTGGTGGGTCCAGTTTCTGGTCAATGTAAACCCCTGGATGTTGATAGGGGTAGATGCAGTAAAGGGAATTTGTGTACAGAGCCTAAACAGATAGGAGAGGTCCTTAATGAATAGAGGGACCTAGTTGGAGAGGAGGACAGTGTGAAACAGGCTGGTAGGCTAGAGGAGGTCGATGTTAGTAAGGAAGATGTGCTAGGAATTTTGAGGAAGTTGAAGGTAGATAAGTCCCCCGGGCCTGATGGGATTTATCCAAGGATTCTATGGGAAGCAAGGGAAGAGATTGCAGGGCCTTTGGCGATGATCTTTTCGTCCTCACTGTCCAAGGGTATAGTGCCGAAAGATTGGAGAGAGGCAAACGTCATTCCCTCGTTCAAAAAAGGGAATAGGGATAACCCCGGAAATTACAGGCCAGTTAGTCTTACATCAGTGGTGGGCAAATTATTGGAAAGGACTCTGAGAGATAGGATTTATGATCACTTGGAAAGGCACAGTTTGATTCGTGATAGTCAGCATGGATTTGTGAGGGATAGATCATGCCTCACAAACCTTATTGAATTCTTTGAAGAGGTGACCAAACACGTGAATGAAGATAGAGCAGTGGATATGGTATACATGGATTTAAGTAAGGCGTTTGATAAGGTTCCCCATGGTAGGCTCATGCAGAAGGTAAGGAGGCATGGGATGGGGGGAAATGTGGCAGATTGGATTGAGAATTGGCTGACCCTTAGAAGACAAAGGGTGGTAGTGGATGGAAAATATTCAACATGGTGCTCAGTTACGAGTGGTGTACCACAAGGATCTGTCCTGGGTCCTCTTCTATCTGTGATTTTTGTAAATGATTTGGATGAACGAGTGGAAGGGTGGATTAGCAATTTCGTGGATGATACGAAGGTGGGTCGCATTGTGGATAGTGCGGAGGGCTGTTCTAGGTTACAAAGGGACATTGATAGGATGCAGAGTTGGACTGAGAAGTGACAGATGGAGTTTAACCCTGAAAAGTGTGAGGTGATTCATTTTGGAAGGACAAACTTGAAAGCAGAATACAGGGTCAACGGAAAGATTCTTGGCAGTGTGGAGGAGCAGAGGGATCTTGGGGTTCACATTCACAGTTCCCTGAAAGCTGCCACCCAGGTGGATAGAGTTGTTAAGAAGGCGTATGGTGTGTTAGCGTTCATTAAGAGAGGGACTGAGTTCAAGAGCAGTGAAGTTATGCTCCAGCTATACAAAAGCCTGGTTTGGCCACATCTGGAGTATTGTGTCCAGTTCTGGTCACCTCATTACAGGAAAGATGTGGAGACGTTGGAAAAGGTGCAGAGGAGATTTATCAGGATGTTGCCTGGAATGGAGGGAAGGTCTTACGAGGAAGGGTTGAGAGAGGTAGGGCTTTTCTCTTTAGGATGATGAAGGATGAGAGGTGACTTGATAAAGGTGTACAAAGTGATCAGAGGTATAGATAGAGTAGACAGCCAGAGACTTTTTCCTAGGGTGGAGGTAGCTATTACGAGGGGGCATAGTTTTAAAGTGAGTGGAGGTAGATATAGGGGAGACGTCAGAGTTAGGTCCTTTACTCAGTGAGTGGTAGGGGCGTGGAATGCATTGCCGGAGAGGATAGTGGAGTCAGCCTCATTAGGGGCATTTAAGCGGCTATTAGATAGGCATATGGATGATAGTATAAGGTAGGGGTGGAGGTTAGATAGACCTTAGGATTAGGGCAAAAGTTCGGCACAACATCATGGGGCGAAGGGTCTGTACTGTGCTGTACTGTTCTATGTTCTATGTTCTAATAGTAACAACACTGAATGTAAAGGGAAGGTGATTAGCTTGTCTCTTACTGGAGATGGTCAACGCCTGGCATTTGTGTGGTGCGAATATTACTTGCCACTTGTTAGTCCAAGCTTAGATATTGTTCAGATCTTGTACTTGAACACAGACTGCTTCAGTATCTGAGCAGTCGCAAACAGAGCTGACATCATGCAATCATCAGTGAACATCCCCACTTCTGACCATATGATGGAGGGAGATCAATGATGAAGTAGGTGAAGGTGGTTGGGACTAGGACACTACCCTGAGAAACACCTGCAGAGATGTTCTGGAGCTGGGATGACAGTCCTGCAACAACCACAACCATCTTCCCTTGTGCCAGGTATGACTCTAATCAGTGGACAGTTTTCCCTCTGATTCGAGTTTTATTTGGGCTCCTTGATGCCACACTCGATCAAACGCAGCCTCGATGTCATGTTTGTCTTGCGCTCATTCGGATACTTTGCAAGAATATTCATTTAAGGGGAAAACCCGAGAGAGAGAGAGTACCAGTTGATGATAAATGGCAGTTAACTGCCACCCTTGAAACTTTACACCAATCAGGTTGACTCTAATTGGTCAAGGCACTGCCCTGAGAAATCAACAAGCAAATAGCTAACACCTATTTTGTTGAGTTGAAACAAATGTCCTGTTTTTTCCAAGCAACAGTTAAGTTCTGTCCTACCACAACCAGTGTTCAGAGAATGTGCACATTCACTAAGTATTATTGGAAGAGCCAGGCCTCAATGCCCAAAATAGTGTGGCCTTTCTTACCCTCCTCACTGGAATCACACCTACCTGCTCCCATTTCAGGATAAAGAGGAAGTGTGAAGCAAAGGAACAGCAGGTCATTCAGGCTCCCATTGAGAGTATGGATGATCTGTGAATGCACTCCAATGTTTGGGGAAGATTGACCAATCTCAGAATATAAAATTGACAATTGGGCTGGATGGATTTGCGTTTGAGGATATTCGTTCCTTTGTGTAGAACACAAAAAGGTCGAGCTTCCCTTTCAGTGAGGTTTCTCTGAGCTGCCCCACTTGAATCCTGAAATCACTTTCTGACTGGTAACACTTCACAGAAAGAAGTGGCAACAATGCAGCCTCAGAACTTTGTTGTGGTCCATATGAGATTGTCTGCTGTACCTTGCTCGATTGAGATAGGGATCCAGATGGTACACTTTGGGCAGACTGAGCCCTATATGGCAGTATAGGGTTGTCATGGGCCTCTGAGCTGCTGGAAACACGTACCTGTGTTGGTGACTTCTACCCTCAGCCAACATTGCGATTTCCATTGAATGGCAAAGGCTCCCATGTCACTTTTGACAACCCCTTTGAATAGGAGCAGCAGGCAATCTGATGGTTTCCTGGCACAGGTTACGTTCTCATGTAGCTTAACGCCCAGCACACAGGCATTTTCCAGTCTGTGCACACAAAGCTACCTTTACTTAATTAGGCCCAGCTTTCTCTGTTGGTGACATAGTCTTTCACAGAATCTCAATTGTTATAGTGCAAATGGGGAGGCAAAGGCCTAGTGGTATTATCGCTAGACTGTTAATCCAGAGACCCAGATAATGTTCTGGGGACACGGGTTCGAATCCCACCATGGCAGATGGTGGAATTTGCATTCAATAAAATACCTGGAATTAAGAATCTAATGATGACCGTGAATCCATTGTTGATTGTCAGGAAAAACCCATCTGGTTCACTAATGTCCGTTAGGGAAGAAAGCTGCCATCCTTACCTGGTCTAGTGTACATGTGACTCCAGACCCACAGCAATGTGGTTGCCTCTGAACCGCCCTCTGGGCAAATAGGGACAGGCAATAAATGCAGCTTAGCCAGCGACGCCCTCATCCCGTGAATGATTAAAGAATAAAAAAGGCCATTCAGCCCATCATGTCTGCACTAGGTTTATTCCTTAGTGCCAATCACCTGCCTTTACCCCAGATTCCTGCACACTCAATCTCCCAGATTGCATTCCCGGGGGAGATACCTGGTGTGTAAAGGAATTCAGTTGTCCGAGTTCATTAAAGGGAAATAATGGTCATTGGCTATTTAATGTATTCATTGCTTGGTAAGTGATGTCTAGTCTATGTGGATTTTAGTTTGATTGTTACAATAAGCGTCTTAAAGGAATCACAAGACTAGATTTCACCTCGTGTTTGTCTCTCAGAAAATGATTGGTTTCTGCAGGGACTGTAACAGAGCGAGAGAGAGAGAGAGAGGGCGAGAGAGGGAGGGTGTGACGGTCTGTGTCACAGGAAGGGGAAAACAGTGTCAGTGTCAGTGAGGGAGTCTCTGTGCCAAGGGAAGAGTGAGTAGCTCGGTGTGGAGGTGATGTTTGGATATCTTGGCGTAAGGGGGTGGGAATCTCCATCCCGGTATTGGGTGGTGGCTCTTTGTCCTGTATCTTACCTCTTCTTGAGGAGTCCACTGAAGTCCAGTTCACCAGCTTCTTCTCCCCCATCGGTGCTACTGCAGAGATGAGGTAGATAGAGATAAGAAAGTGGAACTGCTCCTCACTGCGAGTCATTGAAGTATGTCAGAGTTAGTGACTTCACACTTGCAAATTATCAGCACCAATGCCCCTGGAGAGCTGGAAATCGTGGCTGTTTCTTTGTCATTTTTGGCTCCTTTGTTCAAACCTCTCAAATCCAGTAAATGTTGCTAAGGTGTCAAACCCCATCCCTCAAATTGTTCCGAATGGATCAACCAGCTCCGTTAAGGAGGGAACCTCTTGGGATAGTCTGTCTCTGCTGTACACAGACAGACTCCCATCAGACTCACAGGATGGGGACAGCACAGAGTTAGATACAGAGCAAAGCCTTCTCTACACCTATCCCATCAAACAATCCCAGGACTGGAACAGCATGGAGGTAGACAGAGTAAAGCTATCTCCATTGTCCTCATTTCAGGATCCCCAGTGACAATATTCACAAAGGACTTTACCGACTGGGAACTGCTCTGGATGTTGGGAGTTAAGGGAAGTCCACCCTCCTTCAGATTAGGTCATGTTCTGTGTCCGAAACTGTGACATACTCTGACTCACTCACCCTGCACAGTTCATTTCTTCATCATTTCCACCAACAAGACCAGTGATTACAGAAATCATACACAGTGTTGTTGTGTTACAGCAGTGAGATGGCAGTACAGTGCATGGAGAGGTGGATGAGGGGAGATAATGTGGAAGTGGGAAGTGCGGGTTGGTGAACTGTGAAAGGTGTTGGAGGCTGAATGGGAGGAAAGTGAGGAGGGAGGGCAGGAGATGAAGAAAGGGTTAGGGAAGGGGGAATGTGAGATGGAGAAATTGACAGATATGGGGGGAGGGCAAAATTGTGTGTTGAGCTCTGGGTGAGTGTATGTGATTGTGGAGGTGGAGGTGGAGGTGGAGGTGGAGGTCAGTGTGAAATTGTGTCAGGGTGTGTAGCTGGGTGGCTGTGGCTTGGTCCAGGTGTGGGCAAGGCTCAGCCAGACACCAAGTGTGTTAGTCTCACTGGGTTACTGATGTGAATGGGTGATCCGTCTTTTAGTCTAGGTGCCTGCAGAATCCCCACTGTCTCCCTCCATGATAGTTGGGGCCCAATGCTGTGGAGGGGGATTCTGTTTAACCAGCTCCAATATTCCAGACTCTTAAAGGATCCATGGCCTTTGACAAGGTCCTAGATTGCCCCTTCATTATTTGTGATTTTACTGTGTTTTCCCATTGGCCAACTGCGAAGCAGCAAGCAGGCCCTGGAGGCTCCCACCATGATGGGTGGCCCTTTAAGAGCTGGGAGATAGAGAGCTGCCACTCAGTGTAACTACCTGCCGCTGGTCAACGTCCTCTTGCGGGATCCCGCTGCTGCCAGGCTCCTGGTGATAGGTTGAATTAGAGATTACAGTTGCTGTGTCTGGTAACTGTCTGATTCAGGTCGATCCCAGTAACTAGACCACATACAATCCCAAACATTCCCTGCACTTCACCCTCTCAGTCACTGTGACTCACATTTCAAAACCCAAGCGAACTAGAAACACTGCAGAAAGCACCAAAGCAATTTAGCTGAGAGGCTGAGTACTTTAGATGGGTCAGTTTTTGTCCAATGTGTGCAGGAGGGTTTCCTGACACAGTATGTAGATAGGCCAACAAGAGGCGAGGCCACATTGGATTTGGTACTGGGTAATGAACCAGGCCAGGTGTTAGATTTGGAGCACTTTGGTGATAGTGACCACAATTCGGTTACTTTTACTTTAGCGATGGAAAGGGATAGGTATATACCGCAGGGCAAGTGTTATAGCTGGGGGAAAGGCAATTATGAGGCGACTAGGCAAGATTTAGGATGCATAGGATGGAGAAGGAAACTGCAGGGGCTGGGCACAATTGAAATGTGGAGCTTGTTCAAGGAACAGCTACTGCGTGTCCTTGAGAAGTATGTACCTGTCAGGCAGGGAGGAAGTGGTCGAGCGAGGAAACCGTGTTTTACTAAAGAAGTTGAATCTCTTGTCAAGAGGAAGAAGGAGGCTTATGTAAAGATGAGGCGTGAAGGCTCAGTTAGGGCGCTTGAGAGTTACAAGTTAGCCAGGAAGGACCTAAAGAGAGAGCGAAGAAGAGCCAGGAGGGGACATGAGAAGTCTTTAGCAGGTAGGATCAAGGAAAACCCTAAAGCTTTCTATAGGTATGTCAGGAATAAAAGAATGACTAGAGTAAGATTAGGGCCAGTCAAGGACAGTAGTGGGAAGTTGTGCGTGGAATCCGAAGAGATAGGAGAGGCGCTAAATGAATATTTTTCGTCAGTATTCACACAGGAAAAAGACAATGTTGTCGAGGAGGATACTGAGATACAGGCTATTAGACTAGACGGGATTGAGGTTCATAAG